TGTAACAGGCAGGACGACGAACGCATCGATTGTTAGCGCAGGCTATCCTATGTTTCAGCCACATAATAACGATAATCATGACAAAGGAGCATGAATGAACGATTTCTCTCGCGTCGTACAGAATGCGTGTTGCAAGAACCTTTGTTGGTGGCGGTGCCTTGATTCAAGATGCAAGCAACCCCAGGGAAGTCAGCTGGACGTCAGACACTCGAAGCCATTTTCCAGAGACAGCCCGTATGTGCCAATCTCTATTGTACGGTTACCTATATGCCTTGACCTAACTATTCGGCTATCAGGCTACTTTCGGTATGACTGATGATATCCTTTGTCAATTAGACTATACATGGTAGATATGTTTTATGTAATACCTTGAATATAGTGACTCAACATTCTGTCGAGAATCCCCCGTTTAGTCTTGGACCTTGCTTGACACACCACTACCAAAGAGCAGGTCCGTCCTAGTCTCTCGATCCCAGACCTTCTCTCCATCACTCTTCCTTTTGAAGTACAGAATCCGATGCATGGGGATAAACGCTTCGTCCGTCAGATCTGCCTTCCATTGCCCCACTGGCATCTCCCTCTCCCCAAGGAAGCGATCATCATAACCGACAATGTAATCCTCAATATCAAATTCGGCATCCCAACGAAGCCGGTTTAGGACATCACTAGCAGACCGTAGCTTTGTCCCTTCGGGCACGGCAACGGCCTTTGCCCCACGGATAGGCATCGTCCGCTGGCGTGGCTGAGCTAGGTCTTCATCCTCGTCACCCTCAAGATCAATCTCATCACCATCGTCGTCAAATGACGCTTCGTCGTAAGCTGCATTTCCCCAGTTGGAATTATCCACCCGGAGATCGCCGAGTGCAGAGGGCTGGACTAGGCCGACGTCAACCCAGCTAGAGGAAGCGTCAAAGTAGTTCCCGTCTTCACGGATTTGCTCTGCAAAGGCATTCAGCACAGCCAGGAGAGAGATCTGGGCCGATTGTCGGTCGGCATCGCTTAATGGGCTCGCCCCGGGCGTATTTTGCCTTGCCAGACCGATCAAATAGCAGCCTTGATATTCTTTAGTGGTCTCGTCCACTTCCTCCATATCTGTGAACCGAGCCGGCCAGATCCGGGCGTGGATATCGGGGAACTTTCGATGAATATCTATTTATGATTAGCCCATGGCTGTGGGGGACATGGAAGAGATGTAACTCACCAACGAGAAGCGACACGCATCGCCATTCCAGCCACCCAACAAGCATTCTGCCCTTTGTTGCTGCACCTCCCCAGTATTGGACGTTGACCTTTGCATAGCTTCGGTATGATTTGAGGAATTCCTCTGCACCGGTGGAATGTTCATCAGACCTAGCCAACTGTTCCCAGGTAACATCCTGTTTTGAGAGAAGGTCATTTGCCCGTTGGAACTCTTGCACAAGTGTCCTCGTCGACGGGATAGAAGCTGCACGCGCAACGTTGACTTTCGGTTGGTGCTGGCTAAGGATCACCATTGGCTCCCGTTGAGGTCGGAAATATCGCGGTGGTGACTTGTAGAAGCTGGGATCATAGACGACATTTCGCTCCCAGTCGAACTGTGCATAGTGTTTGAAGAACGTGGTGATGATGTCCGCTGCTGAGATGGTGCCAGCCTGACGGAATGAGAGCGTACAAACACGCGCCAGGAGTAAGGTAATGTGGATACCCCCTAGATAACCCAGCTTGGACGAGTAGATCCCGCGCCTCTGGGCCCACATTTTAATAAACCGATAGGCGAGACGAAATGACGCTAGGTCTGGGATTGTTCGTTGCAGATAGTGCATGTCACGCAGGGAGTTAAGCTTAAGCAATGATTGCATAGGGAGGTCAAAGGTGGAGTCGCCTGCTGGGAGCTCTAAGGCATGTGGCCAGCTATTGACTGCGTTAGCTATCATGATGCGTGAAGGGGTTTATGCGCTGATGTAGGATTTACCTTTCAGCAACACGAGTTGCTGCGCAATACTGTAAATCAACGCGTATACCACGAACCTCCAACTCCAACATGGTTCCGGATGCTGCCTTCACCTTGCGGAGAAGCACAACCTCACCGTCCGTTGCTCGCCGTAGCTTCGCCATAATAAGGGCGAAGAATGTTCGTGGGCTAACTTGTCCGATGACCAGGATATCCATATCGGATGAGCTGTTCCACACGCCGAAGCCATATGAGCCAACAGGCACAACCGCAAATAGGAGATCTAGTCTGGTATCAGCTGGCAGATTTGCATCACGCTGGTTGACGAGCTGTTTGATCAACTCGAAAGCCTCTTTCCTCTGGGCGATTTCCGCATCGGATGGGAAGGCTTGATGGTCTTTCAGGCAGTTCTTCAAGCCATCGGTGCCGCCAAGACTCGATGGTGCCTTTTCAACTATGATAGAGGCCTTTCCACTTTGCAGATCTCCAGAACACGGGCCATCCAACTTGAGTGTCGCTCTCACTCCCCAATGATCACTTGCCAGCTGGCTTTCGTCTCCACTGGGGAATCCGAAGAGGTTATATGATAGAACTTTAAATTCGTCGCCCCGTACGAGAATCCGATCATATCGTTGAGGCCGACTGTGAAAGCTTTGTCCCGTAATCCGTGCGGCGTGTTCGTTTTCAGTTGGGTCATATGTTGCGCCTTCCTCGCCCTCATACAATGTTCCCAGATCTAACCTACTCTGGGGGCTCCCTAGGCCACTACTGGCGGTACTGCTAGCACGACTAGCGTAGTAACAATCCAATAGGCCGACCTCAGTCAACATACCGTCCAGAGATGCCAACACCGACGCGCCCTGCGCAGAGATCGACTTGCGCTTCAAAGCAGCATCGATGGTGTAAGATGAGGTTGCAATATTGAAATCTCCCGCGACAACCCAGTTGTTATCGGGATATTTCCCGGACAGATATTTGAGTACTGTTTGAAGTTGGGACCGTTTCGCCATGATAGAGCTATCAATGAGACCACAGCTAAGATGCACACCTGCCACAACAAGAGGAAAGAATTTAGAATCGTGGAAGGTACCCAGGTCCTCTAGCTGAAGCACAACGGCGCCTTTATGTCGTTTGTCGAACGGTAGCCACTCCCACCGGAACTGCCAACGGCTGAGCACGACGATGTTTCGGAGGCTGTTTAGCGGACCGATTTCAGCCTGGTCAGGTGGTCCATGGGTTGCGAAGGGGTAGCGGAGGCGGATATCCTTGTCTTGAAGGAGGAAGGACAAGAAGCCATCATTTACCTCCTGTAGAATGAGAATATCTGCATTTGCAGCGTCGGAGAGCAGATTATGGAGGAGTAGGGGATACCTCTCCGTGGGAGGCGGATGTGGAGATTCGATGAGAACATTGTACGAGGCAACGGTCACTGCTGATTCTATCTGCCGGCCTGCTGTTGGCTGTGAAGCTGACTTTGGGATAGCGTTCCATTTTCCTTCCTCGCCATCATCCTTGGCAAGTGAGAATTGAAATGTAGTCTCTGAGTGGGCCGGCAACGAGGACGGCGAGGAATATTCAAGAGCTTGAGGATTAGGCAACGGTGTACCGAACAGCGAAACAGCTCCCCATACTACCATTGGGCTGGAAGCAGTGTCCAACCCTTGGGATCGATCCCGGATCAGAATTACTAGTTCTTCTACTTCCCACTCAACGGCGGGAATCAAGCCGACTTTCTCTAGTAAGAATTGTCTCTCTGCCAAATTATCCGCCTCACTCTGACCGATTGTAAGATGCAGCTGGCCAGATGCCCCTGTCTGGCCACCAAGAGCATCCACAAGATCTCCCTGTACCTGTGTTAGGGCCTTCAATCCGTCGCTTCCACTATCCGTAAGATATATTGTGTTACTGCGCCTGTGGGAGAAGAAGTCTGACTTATCCAACCGTAAACGGATGGGTTCAATTTCCTTTCTCTTGTTTAGCAGTGATTGTAGCACTTTGAATGCTTGGGGCAGTGCCTCGGAAGGCACAAACGGGTAAATTAGATTGGCGTGCGGTGGCCATCTTCCATGTGCTTTGTCGTATAGTGCTCGCAGACGGTCAATATCTCCGGTTAAATGCGCCGGAGGAACCACACAAAGGGCTGTTTCGTATGACGTCAGGGGTATAGCTCGGTTTTCGTCGTTAGAAGCCATGGGTATCGTATATTATCCTAAAACACGCTCAAAGATGCCAAGAAGAATGCTAAACCGGACTGCGCAACTGAACTGCTCAACGAAAAAGTAAAGTATCACAACTCGATTTGCTTTTGAACGGAAGACAAGAAAACGTTCCCCATCAAGAGATATTTATTTAAGCTTATTAAAGCTCTGTTTGCGTGGAGCAGAGTTGGTCTGGAAACAGTCTCCACTTCAGAGCCCAAGATTCATGATGACTGAACGTGACTCACGGCAGTGGCGGTGCGCTAATACGAGTGAGGAGCGTCCCCACCTTGAGTCACGATGTCAATCCTACCCTAACTTATGTCCACCTAGGTTTAGCTCATTTCTATAAACAGCAAGCTTGCATTCTTCTCGTTGGCTTAGAGAAAAGCCAATTCATAGACGTTCTGCGTAATACCTGGGGCCCCTGCTGATCTTTACCAGCATTTTACAGCCCCAGTCACTTCCATGTCCAAATTTTAAGGAGTTAGAAGAAAATAATTTCGGGAAGCCCTACGTTGTAACTTGTAACGTCACTCACAGTCGCATGTGCCGAGGTCTCAACGTTCATCCGTATCTAATATGAGAATATTATCTTGTATGACTGAGATTTTGCTATCGTTTAGGACTTTGTGCGAACGGGCCTGATTGACCTACCTACGTTTGCTCGGCCATTCATTTACAATCCTGTTGGTGTCCCATTCCCCCGTAGAATAGAAGAGCTCTTACTGACCAGTGATTTATCTCCAGAATTTCGTCTGTCGTCTGAAGAGCGGTGCTCAAATCACATAGAGTTATTGTGGGAGTCAGGTCAAGTACGGGCTCTATCAACACCTTGACGAGAACTACAACGGCTGGCCCTTAATTGTTCCCAAAGAGTAGGGATGCTGCCTAGAGCCAGGCTACGTATCTGAGTGATCGAGTTGCCCGGCTCACGGTTAGTTTCGCTTTCAAAATGAGAGATCTTTGCAGTCTTTGCAGGTAAGGCATGCCTGCGTGGATCTATGGCATATAAATATTGGAGATAGCCGCGCGTTCTCTCCGCAACATCGAGATTGATTTTTGATGGTCTAGCTAGGCTGAAATAATGGAGTCTTGTTAGCAGTACGGTACACCAAGCTGTAACATTGAAAGTGGGCATCATACTTCCATAGAGGAGTATCTTACAAGGCCATCTCTGATTGAGCTTGGAGATGAGGATGAAATCCCGCTACCCGATATTATAATTCTGGGACGTATATTAGGGCGATCTGCAAAGCGTTCAAAGACAGATGATAGTGCATGGGAGTATATATTGTCTTCGATTTGTAAAATACAGTCCAAGTCGACGTAAAATATGTAAATGACGGGATTTCCTATGTTTGTCCTATTTGGTAATCCAGATCGATCCGCGCGGGCCGGATCAAGATACAGATCGTGGTCTATGGTTGATATCGCAATACATCTACGGAGTAAAATCTATGAAGTACTTGAATTGACCATATACCAAGTCCCACCCAAAGCACAGTCCATATCATGATCACTAGTATATCCTTTCATCCAGATTCTAGGTCTTGTTCCTCGTATTGCATCCGCCGTGGGTCCAATGGTCAGGGACACACTCCGTGGTGGCACTGCAGTCGTTGTCCTCGTCACATCTAGCAAATCTCCTATCCTGCAGCCAGCACCACGGCATACCCTGTTCCCACTTATCGTTCGTCCGCTTCCCGGTTTTCTCGTTGCAGCTGCTCCAGCAAGTTTTGGCTAATCCGGTGCTGCCGCCCTGAGGCGCACACCCACCGGACAGTGGAACAACGCAGCCCCATGATTCTGCGCACTCGAAGTCGGTTGGACAATCGGATTGCTTCAAACAATTGGCATACGAATCGCTGCCGCGTTCAGCTATCCAACACCAGGGTTCATTCTCCGCCCAGTCGCCGCCAACGGGCGACCCCGTGCCTGGGTCGCATTTGTTCCAGCAGCGGCGGGTCAAGCTGCGGCCGCTTCCGACCCTGCTACAGCCGCTGGCAGCCGTTGCGGACGGTAGGGAGGATGTCTTCGAGGTCTTGGTAGTGGTCGTCGTTTTGGAAGAGGTGGAGGAGGGTCGCTCTGGAGGACTGGTAGGTTTTGGCGGCTCTTTGGTTTTCGAAGTATTAGTGCGCTTGGCCCGAGATTTGCCGCCGTCCTCTCCCTGGGGATCATTTGGGTCCACGGTAGGGCAATATTCCACACCGGTGGTTGTTGTTGTGGCGGTGACATCGCATCCTACAGCCACCAGACTTTTAGTGGTAGTGCAGGAGGTTGTGGTCGGGCCCTCAGTTTTGGAGTCGCATGAGACCCAGTAGTTGGTAACCGAAGAACTAGTGCATGAATCTCTGTCCTTGGGGTCCTGGGGATGCGGGGGGACTGGGGGAGGATTGGGGTCGGTTGGATCGGAGAATCCGTTGTCACCACCACCGCAGCCATGTTTGCACCCGCAAAAGTCATCGGCGCACAGATGGCCGCACTTCTGTCCTCTGCAAATAGGGGACCCAGGGCCGTGAGTCACCGTGATGGTGGGTATATGTGGGAACTCGATCCTGTGATGACTACCGCCCTTGTCCTTGTCGTCGTTGTCTTTGTTGTCCTTATCCTTGTCATCCTTATTGTTTTCATCCTTGTCATTGTCCTTGTTGTCGTTGTCCTTGTTGTCGTTGTCCTTGTTGTCGTTGTCTTTGCCGTCCTTGTTTTGATCATCTCTGTCTGTGTTGTCGTCCTCATCATCGGTGTTCCCCTTAGGTGGGACATAGATGACGGTGGTCTGGGGCCAGGGAGGCACAGTCACGCTTCGTGTCACTGGAGGATGCAAGACACCTGTGCGAGACAATGGGTTGGGGTCATTAGTAATAGTGACAATCACAGGAGGGAACCGAGGCTTCGGCGTGATTGTCACTTTTTCGTCCTCGTCGAGTGGAATAGTGATATTGATATTGGCCATGGGCAGTTCGGACACCGTAACTGAGAGTCATCGCATTAGTCAAGTCGCATTCCAAGTCAATCGTAAAAAGCCCTACCTGGCGGAACAATGATAGTGGTCTCCTGTAGAATTCGTGTGACGGTGGTGGTGGTGATAACCTCCCCGTTGGCCCTGGTTATCTCCGTCGGAGTTGGCCAGGCCACATCCAGCGTGGTGACATGCGGGAGAGGAGTGATAACGGTGGTGGAGCCAAGAGGATAGTCGGGGAGGACGAGAGCACAAGGTGCCGGGCATGTCACCTGCGGGTTCTCATCCCCCCAAATGCTGGAATCTACGTAGACAACGGTTTGGTTCTCAGGAGAGTTGTTGCCACCCCGAGGACTGTTTGCGAATGACTGAAGATCAACCGCCCAGTCCGATATGCCGCCCATGTTGAGTTGTCGGTACTGCTCGGTGCGATTTCTCTTTATTTCAGTGTCCATGTAAGCCACCCACTGCGTGGAGTCGTAGACAAGGATGCTACTGTCGCTGGACGCATCATAGGTCTTTTTGGCAGTCGGATCGTCTTTCAAAATCTGATTGATCTCTGCGTCAGAGATATACCCGGCTGTGATGGTGCACTTCCCAGGCTTCGCGGCGGACTCGGGCCCGACGTATTTGCACATGGGACCGGAGCAACCTGGCTCAGTCATCTTGAACGACCGGCCATAGCTACTCACCCCAACAATGATCTTCGAAGATGGCACCCCAGCCTTGGTAACCATGGACAGAGCAGTATTTGTCTCGGTGAGATTAACATGCGAGCGGAGGCAATCTCCATCTGGACATCCCTGCATCGAGTTCTTGTTTCCGTAGTCCCATTGCCCATGGAGGTCGTAGGCCATGAAGACAATATAGTCTACCACCTTTGAAATCTCCTCGATCGGGAAGCCCTTCAGATACCAGAACGAGGCCGGGGCAGCAATCGCCAGGCTTTTATCAGAGGGTAGCTTTTCCCGCACCATCTTCAAGAATTCCAGATATCGCTTTCCATCATCGCGGTCACCGGGAGGAATACCAGGAATGTCAGGGGCTCCAGGATACTCCCAGTCAAAGTCCACTCCATCAAGTCCATTTTCCACAATGAAGTTAGCCACATTCGTGGCAAAGACCTCTCGGTTCTCTGCCGACACGCCTTTGCGGAAAATCGGGAAGGAATCCGCTCTTGTCGAGAAGGACCATCCACCAAATGTCAGAATACGGTTTACGGAGCCCATGTTCTTCAGCTTATTAAATTGAGTATGAACCAGGGACACGTCCACCTCATAGCTTTCTGTTATCTCTGCAAAGGCAAAATGGAGATGAGTGTGAACTGCTGTATCGAAGCTGGTAACGTCCATATTCAGACAGCCACGCTCAGCGTTCCACGCCTCAAAGTAGCCAATGCTGATAAACTCATCTGGCCCCTTTTTATTATTCACAATATCAGTACCACAGTTGGAGATACAGCCATTCGTGTTAGGGGCCGCAGTACCAGGGGCCCCAGTGGAAGACTTGCTCTCGGTGCAGAACTCATCGGTAATACCACACTGACCCCAGACATCACAGCACGCGTTGAGCGGACAAGGATTGAGACCCTCAAGATCATTCATGTCCTTTGGCCTTGCGGTCCCTGGCACTTGCGGACCACACACAGCATTGTCGACAATAGAGGGCATGGGAGCCGTTCCCTCGCTGAGACAAATAGTTTGCTGGGCCTGAATCCGGCTACACCCACTCCAACCCCAGGTGTGCTTGTTGAATTTCTCCAGATCCTCCTGCTTGAGGCCGTTGGTAACTGCTAATTTGTGGCAGGATTCATCCGTCTGGACAACATACGAGGCGCAAGTGCCATCCCCGTTTGGCTTGGGCCTAAGGTCGGGCAATGTACCCGCTGAGCAGCACACATGCTGTTCCGGCTGCAGTGAGGAACAGAGTTTCTTGTCGGGATTGAACTTGGTGAAATCCGCCGGAGAGAGTCCGCACCGTTCGGCCAGCGCCCCACAGGAGTCTCCAGGAGCAACCTGGATCGTGCGGCAAATAGCTCGTCGATGGTGAGAATGAGCCCGCCCTTGAGGAGAATGCAAGTGGCCTTCTTCGGCAGCTCCTCGACTCCGCGATTCGGAGACGGGGCCCGATGCCGCATCATCTTGCATATGCAGGATGGAGTGGGGGAGCTCCTTCACACCGTCAAAGTCGGTCTGGCACTCCCCGTCGACCCAGCCCCGGACAATGCGCTGCACAGCCGCGAGGTCGCCGCTGGCATCGACGACGATACCGATCGCTTTGTTGGAATTCTCTCTGCAATACTGCAGGGCAATTCGGCCGACCAAATCCTGGGATGCGATATGATTTGTGAACTCTTGGAATACAGTGGTAGCAGCGTCCGAGTGCTGAACCCCCCGTCCAGCGTACACTCCAATGATGGATTTCCCATGGTAGCTATACGCAGTTGTTGGTTTGTCATTTTCTGAGGCCAAGAGCGCCTTTCGGACATGTTCCAGCGCGGACTTTACGCCTGCAGATGGTAAAGACGAAGCCGTATTCCACCAGCCAATTTGCAGGGTGACTTCTTGATCAGTGAACCCAGATGAGACCAAGGCCTGAGGTTGGGGGGCCTTGGCAGCTGGGTAATCTTCAGACGCAGAACAGGCGCGAATGGCCGGATTCGAGGGATTGTACAAAGAAAAGTCTAGACGCAAAGTTTGATTGCAAGTGGCCAGTTGATCCACATTGCGATAAACCGCCCATTCGGCCGGAGATGGGATTTCGCTGCAGGCCCTTGGGCAGGGTTTCCACAATTGGGACCAGGCATCAAAACTGGGTTCTGCAGCAACCTGGATGGAATGTGTCAGAGACAGAGACAGAGCCAGGAAAAGGAATGGCGAGGGCATTATGCCCCGAATGAAAAAAGAGAGCGACTTGGAGAAAAGCGAAAGAGAAATGAAAGAAAGGAAAACAGACTTTGGGAAATGAACGATGGGATAGGGAAGTATGAGCTCTTGAGGGGACCAAGCCTCGTTTTATGTCGCATACAAGATGAGCTTCACCTCACATATCCTCTCCAATCGATCATGAGGGCACGAGTCACTTTGCCAAGCATCGACCAAAGTGCTATGGAGTACCTAAACTAACCGCTCCGATGAACGCTGCAACCCATTCCACAAGTTGATAGTAGTGGTCCGATGCAATTATCCCCTGGCCATAACTATTTCTGTTCTAGCTAGCGGCTGCACCCCTAAAGTAAACCCAGGAGTATCTCTTCTATCCTGTACGTAATACTGACTGCTGCCTGAAGCCGTTGCATTTAGGGCCGTTTCTATAGCCGGGGTAGTTACCAGCCGCCGAAACCGGGCGCCTGGGAGGTCTGTCGTGCAATGCTAGGTACTTGAAGCACTGAAATAATGGATCTGCCGGAGCTTATAGACGTCCCAGTTGTCTATGTCGTCGGCTCTTCCCCTCCCGTTGCTGAGTACGGGGTTTTGATCTTTAGAAAAAGAGATATAAAGGCCGATGATATACGAGTTGAATATGGCGCTACTTAACTACGGCTTGGCGCATTGAGATTTCCACGTTAATTTAGACCGCGGAACCTTATTACAATGAACGGGGCTCACCAAGACCTAGAACGATCTTCCGAGATAGACGGGCCTCTTTCCCCACTGGATTATCAATTGATGGTTCCTGCTAGCTCGGAGCAAGTCCATTCGCTATGTAACGTTGCGCACTAGCCTCCCCCACATAATTAATTCAGCCTCCCACCCATGCGCATGCTCCTAGGAACGCCCAATGATCCCACATCACATCAAATTCTCCACACTTGGGCCCAGGACGCACACTGCCTACATGGACCTAGTCCATAACGACAAACCTAGCATCTACAGCATAGGTAGGCACTAAGTAGCACTTGCTTATACAGCAAGACTTTACAGCCGTGGACAAAAAGGTGTAACAAAGGATTAGACATTAGACAAGGGGCATGCCAATGATGGTGGGTCTTCCAGCAGCATTTAGTAGAAACTACCACTTGGCGTCACACAGGCCCCGTACATAATAAGATTGGCCCCCACTATAGCACTATCCAAATATCCCTCATCTGTTTCCCATTCAGGCGTAGCATAGTAGCATTAGGATGGGGAACTGGGAACCCAAACGTTTTTTCCACCCGAGCCGAATGATGTGAGGGCGGATAGACCCGTGTAGCCTCCAGAATGAAAGCTCAGACAGAATAGACCCACCGAATCCATAACGTCACAAAGCAATAGTCAAGAGTCACGACATGCCATATGTTCACAATCCCTGCTAGTGCTCATCCTATACTGCGATATCTATTGGTGAGGCAGAGTGCCTCTCTGGCGCCGTCTTTTCCGGCGGAAATTTCAGCTGTAATAGCGCATGCGGAGGCTCCACAACCTCGTTCTCCAAGCCAGCTTCTCATCTCCTGGAAGACTAGCTTTTACTGCCTTGGCCAATAGTTACCCGGGCTTTTATTATACCAACTATACGAGATATTATGAGAAATGCTCGGCATAGCAACGCTGAAGGCAGAGAAATACCCTGTAGCAGTTATTCCTGACCCCCTGAATACCCATTCTAGGAGCCTGATGGACTGTTCCATAATTCTTGTCTGTATTTCGAACCGTGTAGTCACCTTGGAAAGATGTAGTATTGTCTTCCTCTTTTAAAAGGGACAGGGCCAGCATCTCAGCGACTCTTTCGGCCTTTCCTGTCACTCACTGCCTTGTACTCAGTACCAGTCCCTCATTTCAGGCATACCTTCTCTCATATTGTTCATTCGCTCTCTCTGTCTCTCTTTTTTTGCACCCGGGGCATCGACATAATGGCTCCGACAACACCAGTCACTCGTTTCGTTTCCTTTTTCCTTTTTGCACTTGTTGCACTCCTATGCATCTACCATGGCACTCAGTCCGATAATCTCCGCCTTACCACCTATGCTAAGCGATCATTGCCTGATGATGCCACCATTCATCCCCGGCTGAACCTTAGTACTGAGCTTCATCTCCTATCAAAGCGTGCCGCTCCTAAGAACAGAGCTGAGGCAGTGGAGAAAGGCAGAGGATATATGTGCCAGTTAGAGGATATAGAACCCATCGATTTACCTTCCGAGCTCACGGATTTTGAAACGCTCAACAGGGATTGGTCTCGTGAGCCTTATGGAGTGAGCAACGGCAACCCTACTGATACAGGGTCAGTAATTCCAGTGGCCATGGCGGCAAAAGGTCTGCCCATTAATATTGGAGATCGAGGTCTGGAGGGGTTTATCTATCACCAGGCTGAGTCATATACAGTTGGTGGCTCAACATATAGGGTACGTCGCTGAGAGACCACCAAGCCAGTAGATTATGGCGCCGCTGACTAGGTTTCTTTCAGCCTACACATGCTTGGTACAGGGCCACTATAAGCACCCAGGCGGGCTACATTTCCGCGGAAGAAAATATAAGTCCAGCCTATATTATTGCTAAGGATAAGATGACACAGCCGCCTCCAACCATGGCTAGGCTATCTGACGTTTACTTTTTACTCTGGAAGGAAGCGGCAGGCAAGTCAGAGACCAAATTGAGAAATATCAAATATTTTGTCCGCCACCATGTGATTAACGACGCCTCTTTGGATGTTGCTCTGGAGGTGGCCAGTGGAAAACCTCTTCCTCCCAGAAAGAAAGAGGAGCCTAGAGACACGAGCATGGTGGAAGAATGGCCGGGTAAATCCTATGACATGTCTACTGACGATGGTAAAGCGATTTTAGGGACTCCCAATGGTGCCGGTGTAGCCCGTTTCCTCATGGACCACAAGTTAGAATTGGGAGTGAAGGCCCCCAGCAAGGTGACGGTATTCAAGACTACTGGACACACAAATGCCGACACCAACCAGCCAGAGGACTGGGTCCATTTCCTATTCGAAATCAGCCCTGTTCACAAAAAGAAACGGAGGGGAAGGAAGTAAACAAAGGTAGGAGGGGGGCGGGCTAGATCGCCTAAAGCCTTTCAGACACAAGGGGAATATATTCTCTAGTCCTGAGCCGGGGGTGGGGGGAAGAAAAGTTTTCAAAATAGGAGTACCAGGATGGAGTGCAGAGTTCAGTCTAAGTACGTAAAATTAAGTGGGTTGTGTCCTGTTGCTTGCTTGGCAGACATGGATGCAACTAATTTAGTTAGACGCTTCCTCCCTTGCAACCGTTGACTTGAGCTTCTTCTGTTACACCTCCCTATCTACTGCATTTGAAATAATAATGGGTACCTTTGAAAAACTTCCCCCTGAAATCATTGTTCGCATTATTCAATATGCGGCTGATTTTGTTGGCACGGAGAGTCTGCTGGTAGTTTCACCATGGGTTCATGCTGTTTTCGAGGCGCAGCCGCACAGAATCACGGAGGATCTCATAGTGTCAAACCCAGTGAATGCCATGCCTGAAATTCAAAATCTACTCCGAAACATCGCCCTGGTTCCTACAGTACATCGCGCCAGTCTGGACCACTATATGGGGGTAATGTGTGAGAGCACATCCAGTGTTCTCCCGCCGCAGATGAGCTTTGCTGAACTTTTTCGAATAGTTCAGATTGCTGCACAGGTCCAGCGTTTAGCATGTGTATGCCTTTCTACCATGCGGCAAAACTTTATCTCTGCAGTGGGGACCACTGCCACAGGCTCCCTGAGTGGTGCTGTTCGAGCACAGAAAGCGAGCGAGCCTTTTTCATGGGTTGAGGAATACCGGGTATACTGGGCCCTGTGGCATCTGGTCTACTATTCTATCCTCTGTGAGGCTGCGCGGGAATTACCTGCTGATTCGGTACAAAGGATATATGCGTGCGCCGTCCGGAACGAAATGTGGACGCCCAGGAAGGAATATATCTGGACGGTGGCCGCAGTTCTCTCGGACCTAGGACTACATCCCTCCTACGGGGACTCTGCACAGCAGGAGCCCTCAAAGGCCTCCTGGGATCTCCCGGAGGAGACACCCATACCTTTATTCACGTCTTTTGAGTTCTGCTTTGAGAATTACCTCATCTGGAGCCCTCAACCGGTACCGGAGAGTACTCCCGTTATAAATATCTGGGATCGCGGGGCGGATAGGTGTGATGAGTCGTCAGTGCAGACCGGAGCGTTCTCCGCATGTAGCAGACAGCTGCTACGGCGCAATCCAAGTTCAGCCGCGATGCGAGATATACGGCCATTTCGACGTCTTGGGGTTCTTTTGTGGGACACGTGGCGTGTGTTCTCAGTTGGGCTTCAACGTAGACCGTGCCGAGAGGGTATTCCGACGCCAGATGGAGGATTTCTTGATTCGGGTAATAGCCCCCTTTTGTCTGTACAGGAGAATGCGGCGATGTGGTTGGCGTTGGTCGGTAAGACGCTGTGATGGACTCAAGGAATAGATTTGTGGCGTGACAAATTTTGAGGACGTTGGATGTTTGAGGGTTGACATTTCTGATAAGTCGCAACTGCTGTTGAGAGTATCTCTTCATCATCTTCTGAAGGTTCTTCTTCGGGTGGCTATGGGTCCACTTGATTGTGCTCAAAGTATTGTCTTCCACCCCATGACTATGGTATTTATGTCCGTTCATGCGGACCTCCTGCGCAAGTTCTCATTCATAAGTTGAATCGCAGCACGTAGACATCGGGTTGATGCTAAACATCGGATATGAGATCTGTAAGATATCGAAATAACCTATCTTGGGGTCCTCGCAACACGGGCTACACCACTCAATACATATTCTTTTAGAACCGAGCGTCTTAAATAATTACCCATGTCGAAGAAAAGCAGAATACTCAATAATTCAACTATGATAGAGCCACTCAAGTACGCTATGGCGGCCAAATAATAGTTAATAATCAGAGTCCTGACACCTAATCCCTTGAACTCGCTTCACTATTCCAGATTAAGCTTAAGAGATTGCTAACACTATACGGAGTCACGTTATGGGGAGCGTTTCATCCAGAAATCATGCAGTGCATGATCCGCGGCTGAATATGGAAGAAAGTAACCCTTACTGCCTGGAGGGTAAACTCGCATCTGGAATCTATATCCGCGGAGGTTATTTTTATTGGGTTTAAATTGAATTACTATGTTCTTCACTTTTTAGTAGATTAGATATATGTAGTATACTTATCCAGTGTCGTTCAATAAGGGTAATCAGATAGCTTCTAAGAATAGGTTATAGTAGCTGTCTCGATATGAAACAAATCAAGGTAGCGGCGTATTCGTTGACATTGAGGAATTATTAGAACCGTCGAAATACATTATATACGTCCCTTAGGTCGTTTACAGGCGGGTCTTCAAAAGAATGGACAGGAATCATTTGAGGCTTATTGCATTAGGGTAGAAGCAATGCCGTAAGTTTATGTCTTGCATTCCTGCATTGGGTGGCCAAATTGTTGACCAAACATCCATCCCTTCTCTACAATCTTACTACCTACAATAAAGATCTGAGCGTGCCACGTTGTGTATTTGGCTACAAGAAATCGACTGATCGCTGACACTAAAATACAAAACAAATGGTACTAGAACATGAGAACTTTGCGCGAGGGAAAAGTACCGATGGTACAACTAATGGTTTCCTTCACCGTTCTCCTGCTGGCCCTTGCCTTGGCCATTTTCCTCACCGTGCTCTTGCCCGCCATTTCCCTGCTCCTTCCCATCACCCTCCTCCTGCTTTCCCTTGCCCTGATCCTGCCTTCCCTTGCCCTGATCCTGCCTTCCCTTGCCCTGATCCTGCCTTCCCTTACCCCGATCCTTCCCATGACCCTCTTCCTGCTTTCCCTTGCCCTGCTCCTGCTTTCCATTTCCCTGATCCTTGCTCTCACCGTGCTCTTGCTCGCCCTTGTTGTGGTCCTTCACTTCACCATGACCCTCTGGCTCGTTGTGACCGATAGGACCATGCCCACGGCAGGACGGAACCTTGTGCTCATAATCACAAATGCTGAACCGAGAATCGTATGCTGTTCCGGGTCCACAGGTCTTGCGGACGGGAACTCCACCAGCAGCGCACTCGTAGAAGTTGTGGCAATCGCGCTGGTCAGGCCATCTGGCCCCGGTCTCACAGCTGGGGTGAGCGGAGGCAGTCAATGCAAACAGGGAAGCGGCAAAGATAGCCAGAGCTTTAGTGGTGAACTGCATCTTGACGCTGTTCGGAACCAGGCTGTCAGTAATTGCAGCGACGGGGTAAAATATCTCGACCCTGATGATGCGGAATCACATACGCTAAATACGGGACGGTGTTGTCACGTTGGAATAGATGGCCTCTGGAAGGATGGGCGGTGGATGGGAGGTTAGGGCAGGGTTGGCACTGGTGTCCTGTTGTCGAAATGACTGAATGATTGTCGATGATACGATCATTAAAGCTGGCGATTATACCGGCTTTTATAGATTTGTGCTGCTATACAAGTTTTGCTTATGTCAAGGGATACACAGGAGTTGCATTCTTGGACCCACCTCTGAATACCAACATGCTTCCCCTGCCATTGAAGGGGGAGCAATTTGCAGCACCCTGTTTCTGGTAGGAGATATGAAGGACTAACGAGCCTTGCTGGTTGCAATTGCCGGTGTCAAGATAGAAATCCGGTTCTTCGGTACTTCTTCCCCAAATTCTGCCGGTGACGTTCAGCAATGCCACATTTTTTCGAGTTCAGTGACAGCTACCATGTTGCCCCTTGCTATCCTCTAGTCGTCCTATCTATGCTTGCTAGCTGTTGATTGCGTCTGCACTTTGCAACATAATTGCAATGAACGAAATGTGGTTCGCACCACACGCCCGCTTTCAAATGAACCTACTATCACCCTAGCTCAATGCTTAATTATAGACCTGCGAAGGCGGAAAACCGCTCAATCTCTCTCCACTTCAGTCTACTCTGCGTGGAATTTTATGACTCGAGATCTTTGGACGCGAGATAAAGCTAAATCAAGCTCCAGCCATACGCAGAGCTGACAAATAGAACGTGCGGGAGATTTTCGCGCTATTGAAACAATGCAGGCTCTGGAAATGTTGCAGAAACCTTGTGCTTCGCTTATGCCCTTTTATACTTTTTGTCAATTGAGTTTTCCGCTGTATTTGAGTTGGCTCATTTTGAGCTTGTTTAAAGTCTCATCGGCAGATAATCTATGGTAATCATCCGCACTGAATTTATATGGGAAATAGAAGTAGAGAGCTGACTGAAGCTATATACAAGTAGGATTCTGTTAGGGAGAACAGATTATATAAACACTCGGTATGCTCTACGTGTCATATTGCACGGTGGTCTACGCCCTGCCGGCTCCCTTCTTTGGATGGTTGGGGTGATCGCTTTTCCTTGATTTCACTTGACCCTTTCTTCGCCAAGGGAGATTCTAGCTTTGCTATAGCCCAGAATGCGAATCTTATGCAGTGCGATTTGGCCTTGGGGTTCAAATCCAGATTCAAAGCTATCCACAGTGGATCAATTCGGAAGTATTCTGTAGTGTTTTGAAAAGCGCGCCGCGCGGAATGCGGTACTGGCGCGCTCTCTCTGTATACAGGGTGTGGATATCTTCCAATATTAGCACTCGCCTACTGCAAAGTAGGTGGGCGGGAATTCTCGCGTATCCAATGGCCGAGATGCAGTATGACGTAGTAATCCAGGTCCAGAGCTAAAGGAGCGCAGCTGAGGGCAATTGAAGGCGAGATTTCGACAGTTCTACATGAAAAGCACCCTGACGTGGAACGGCTGATGCTGAATAAATATCGCGTCCATCGATGCCAGGGTCCTTCTGATCGCAAATAGAAGCTCTTGACAATCATACATTTTGTGAGGGATATTATGTTGCGCAGAACTAATAAGTCACCATATGATAATGGATACCAATTTCGCGCTGTGGAAGAAGCAAGTAAACCACAGGTCGACGCAGCCTGTTAGGCTAGTTTTCATACCAGTCTGAGGGGATAGCTGTGTTCTTTCTTTCTTCTCTTTGTATACAGAAGCTATATTCTAGAGTTACGTCTATCTGTACTGCGGTAATAGTGTAATGATTGGATTTCCAATTCCTTGATGCTGTAATTACAGAAAAGCTTTATCCCATCTCACGACTTAGACAAAAAGGGATATTGGGGAGTTAGAGATGAGATAGTCACGTACAGATTTTGGGAGCTCTTAGATATTTTAGAATAATACGGTACTGCAAAGGCTATGCTACACAACTCAGGACAAAGGCAGTGAGAGATTGAATTGAGTGTCAGGGAGATGCATGTGGTGTAATACATTGTTTGTCATTGAAGTATAAGCAGAACGATATATATTTACTGAGATCGGGCAACTTGTCATGGAAATCTATCTACCCAAGTTACTCCACAAGGATGCTCAATTACGTTCAGTTTATCCCTATCCGCGTGGACATGATATATATATAATTTGCTATCAAGTACCCGCAGATATGTACCAGTCTATATTTTATCCACCACTATGCCTCACCGAGTTCAGGTACTCATCGAGGCAGATGGCTGGTATGCTAAATACTAAGGGCTGTGTTCTCGGAGGGGTTTGCCTGGCAGAATAGCCTAATTAGAAAGGCGGTATAATGCACGAGAATGAACACGTACATGCAAATGTTGCTAATGTTCACACAAGTTAAAGTTCCCCGTCTCAAAGTCCCGGTTCTGTGCCTTCGACTTGCTGGAGCGCTCCTTCATCAGCTCCTGGCGGTACTGCCTCGCCTCCTCCATGGTTATGGGAGTAGCGTCGATGTCCTTCTTGACCATATTCTGCAGCTCAAGTGGGAGCCTCTCGTTCAGCAACTTGCCAACAACCTCCTGCCGTTCCTTCCACCAGCTCTCTTGTTGAGGCGGCACATTCCCCGAAGAAATAATTGAGAGATGAGGGTCTACAAGGAAGAAAGCCAAGATCTTGCGATGGCCCGGCTTGGTCCGATCCGCTAGCGTAAACGGCGATACCCGGTGCTGGAGACTATTCGGGAAGGTGAGCAAGCGTCCTTGACGAGTGTCGACACTGCCCAGAACCTGGGTGATGTTGCTCTTAGTGTAAGCTGACTTAGAATCTAAGCCAAAGATCGCCTGGAGAAATTCATGTCGTGATTGCTCATAGGGCATGTCCGAAATGATCCTTCTAGCCGCTCGTTGCCGAAACGCCAGCCTGTTTTCAGTGATGTTCTCGCTGTCGTAGTAATAGATGGCCGTAGCGCAGATGTGCTCATTCTATTACCAGTTAGTATATGGTCCAGGCATTCCAACAGAAAAGAAAGTATACCAGCTGTCCCTCAATATGCCACGATCCGCCGTTGTACTCGGGCTTGTCCGGGGTTAGCTCGATATTCGCCAGCTTGACGATTACCTGCAATCCGTTCCGGGCAAAATCCTCGCACAGATTGACCTGACCCTCAGCTCCGATTACATGGGGAGTAAACTTGCCCGGTTCTGGGCGTCGGATGGGCTCTCGTTGACGCCATCTCTCCCATCGTTCATTATATTCTTCACTCCACTCCTCCTCCTCGTTTGCCGCCTGGGGCTCCGCTTCAGGGTGCTCGTCATATTCAATCTTATCGTAGGGGATTCTGCTGTAATGATCCTGCACAAGGGTTAAGGTCATATTCCATAGAGGGATGGTCTGAGCCAGGATCTTCTCGATGACTTGGTAGAGCGGCCCATGCTGTTTCGGATGCAGGTTATTAATATACGACGCAATGCGACACTCGCTAGTGTCAGTGAAATGCACGTCACATGGAAGCCACTGGAATTTGCGACTGTAGGGTTGATGAGTGATGTTTCTGCTTGACCATTGGTCGTCGTCGTCGTCGTCGTCATCGTCATCGTCCACAGTAGTGGTCTCTTCTTCTGTGGGAACCGCAAGGACCTTGCCCTCCCCGATGCTGTTCTCAAAGTCTTCGAGTCCAATCAGTTTCCTATGGAGAACGCGAGTCCGGCCATAGACGACCGGAAACAGAGATGGATGGACCAGGTCGACCACCTTGTCATCTGATCCGGGGTGGTAGTCTTTGAACTCCTCCGGCACATCCTCCAGGGGCCGAACCGCCTCTTTCAGCGCCTGTCGCAAGTCTTTCGTAATGGCTGTATCGGATTTGACCACGCCAGCGTCGAATGCAACGACACGCTTGGTATCACGGAAGACCTCGGCTTTCCACTGCGCCTCCTTGATAATCCAGTCTATCATGGTCGGAGTTATATCATCTCCGGTGTCCATGATTTCCTTGCGCCATTTGGTGGTGATTTCTTCATCAAAGACCTGAATGTAATGTCAGTTATGCCTATTGGAGGATGAAGGAAAAGCACCTTTTTCTCCCAGTCCGATTTGTCAGTGATGGAGTTGAGTGCTCGCATCATCAAGATTTCCCGGTGGGTATTCAGGCGTCTGCATTCTCAGCCCTTAAGCAACCAATTGTTGTATCAATCAACCACTTACTCCGTGCTGTAGTTCCCCAGTGCATTAGGGAACATCTCATCAGCATCTATGTAGTTCAAGGGGATAGAGTAACCCGGTAAGTCGAAGCGTGTGTTTGTCGACTCCATGGTTATTGAGCGCAATTTCGCACGACGAAGTGATCTGAGTAGCGTTAATCCCCTGTGTCTTCTACGACGATGTTACTTATCAAGAGAGCATCAGGGATTCTGACGCGTTGTTGGTTTAGGCAGGCGGCTGTTGCCTCGGAGTCTTGGTGGAGTAACTTGTAAGTGTTGGCTAGTACCCACTCGAGAAGGAGGGCAATTAACCATCACATGATCTAAACCGAAGTTCCTCTCGGCTTTGGGACGAATAAAAGTCGAAGGAGTTCCGAGAAACATCAATCGTTAAAAGATCAACCATGTAACTTACTTCTAAGAGTTAGTGAGGGGTTTTGCTTATCCGTTGTTGACCCTAAGAATGGGTCTGATCTCTCCAGCTGAATTGTGGGGCAGCTGGATCTACGTTGGACACACTGGAAGTGATGGCTGATCATTGCCCTGTAGAAAGGCCCGCGCTTCGATAAACACTCTTGCTCTTCGCTCTTGACCAATGCATCTCATAGTACAATGCTCCCTTCCATATTACTCGATGAATTCAAACGACGTCTCCACCCGCTATTGCCTCAGCTGAGTGAGCGTGAACACCCGGTAGTCTCTCAGTGCAATATATAAACCCCGACAAGTGACCAAGAAC